ATTTAGGATAAAATAAAAATAACACCTGTTAGCTGTCCCACATTTAGAGATTGTTGTGATCATAATCATTTTATTTTTGGGTTATCCTATTTTGACAATTATAATAACCTTAAGTTACATATGTATGTGGAGTGTCTTACAACTTTAAGTCGAAGAATGAATATTCTGTTTAACCTTCGAAAATAGGATGGTTCAGAAAAATTATTATTCCTGATATGAAAAACCCTATTTTTATACCCTCAGCATAATGGCTAATGAGGGTATATACACTGTGCTACTGCCTCATTGTCGTAAACAGCGACCCAACATTGAAAACTTTTTGGTAGAAATAAGCAATTCGAATTCGAAATATCAAATTACATAAAAAACTCCCCAAAATACCGAAATATAGGCGTTATCATAAAAAGTGGACCAATATTAATAATTTTTAGTATTATGATGTGTGTTACCCTATGTGAATCCAAAATACCAAAAAAGTGTCAATTCGGTGGAAAAACGTGTCCATCTTTCTCAAAATACCGGAATATGTGAGGTAAATGGAAGAACCAAAAATGAGAACCAAAAATACAAAATTATAGCCAATTCGGTTGAAAGTTTGCCAAAAATCTCTACTTACTGGTTTACTGGTTTGTGGCAGAACATTTGTTCCATAAGCCGAGCTTAAAAAGATTTCCAGGCGCGTCGGTCTTGTGCACAGCTCACAATTTGAAAGACCATTTTCCGAAATATTCTCTTCCACTTGATCTTTCCATATAATTCGTGGCCTTCCTCAGTTCAGAGGTTGCTGTTACCGCACGCAATGTTCGACCCACTATATCGATATCATCGGCGTTGGCGAATAACATGTGTTGCTTGGTGGTCAGAGTGCCATTTCTGTTCACCTTTGCCTCTCATATGACCTTTTCCAGCTGGATGTTAACAAACACTTTCTGTGTCCATTTTTGTGTCCTGGACACAGGATGCTGAGATACCAATCATTGGGCATACATTCCTCTAGCCAAATTGTACTAATCATTGTACTAATGGTACATGCTCCTGACCAGCATCTGACAACCAGCATTGAATAGTTCGGCTGGTAACCCATCGGCACCTGTTGCTTTATTATTCTTCAGCCGATTAATTGCTACTCTGACCTCATATGGGCTAAGTGGTATACACACTATACCATCATCTCTTATTATTTCTGAGATATCTTCATCACCGCCACTATTTGATACCAGAAGCTTACCAAAATGCTCCTTCCAAATTCTCAATACGCTGTCAGTATCTGTCACCAAGTTTCCATCTTCATCTCTACAGGAGGATGTGCCTGCACCAAATTCTTCGGTTTGGTGTTTTGCTCCTGATCGTACCATGGGTTTCTTGATGGTGGTCTTCGATACCCAAGTGTTGCTTTTGCTGCAATTTGTCGAGGCAAGAAGTGCTTTCCTCAAGCAGGTGGGTAAGTACCATTGCTGTTTATTAAGACGAGTGCGAACCTTGGCTGCTACAAGGTAGTGGTCCGAATCGATATTCGTTCCTCGGATCGATCGAACGTCTAAAACACTGGATGAATGCCTTCCATCTATCACAACGTGATTATGATTTGATTTCTCGTTGTATGATCGGATGAAATCCAGATGTAATTGTGTATATCGAGATGCTTGAATCTGGTGCTACTATCTACCATGTTTTTTGCTGCCGCGAAGTCAATCAACCCCATGCCGTTGTCGGATGTTTCTTCGTGGATGCTGAATTTTCCGACGGTGGGACCAAAAATATTATCCCTACCGATTTTTGCATTAAAATATTCTACGAGAATTTTAATGTCATGGCCAGGGCAGTGGTCATATGCTGTTTCTAGGCCCTCGTAAAATATGTCTTTGGTCCGTTTATCTTTGTCTTTCGTCGGAGCATTGGCGCAAATAATACTGATGTAAAAGAACTTAGTTTTTTCGAATTATAGAAATTTGTTCATCTACTGAAGCGAATCTGGACACGAGGACTTTTATTCTTATATTAACCATAAATACGCAGCCAAATTCATGTCTTGATTCATGGCAGCTATAATACAGTGCGTAATCGTCTGATGTACTTACGCCTGTCCCTTTCCATCGCATTTCCTGTAAGGCAATAATATCGGTTTTGAACTTCTTGAGTATATCCGTCAAAGTGAAAACTGCGCCAGTTCTGTACAACGTACGAACATTCCAAGTACAGATCGTGATCATTTATACGATTTTCTTTGTAGGACCATGTTCTGACCCAATATAAACCAGTGAGCGGAGCAGTATAGTCGGACGGGGCCGACCATATGATACCCTACACAACTTCCACGAAAAACTAACTTTCTGTGGATCTATATTCTGAGCTTGTGCAATATTTCGCGATTTTTGAACCATCTGGACCAACTAGAGGTCGACAATTAATGCTAACGTTCAGTACAGCCCTTCTTATTACTTATCCAGATTCCCTTCCCTTGTGTTCGAAACTATAAAGGTCCCGTTTTATTTTCGGAATTTTGAGAGCCGCATTTTTCAACTGAAAGGAGTGTGTTTAGATGCTGTGAGATAGATCGTTCTGCACTATTTACGGTATTTTGAAGTGGTGGCTGTAATTTGGTATTTTGAAATTTTGGAACCTGACATATGCATATATGTACAGGGTGAGATGAAAAAAACAGCAACCAACTTTAGACTGCTGTCATTTCTAAGCCACTCGTCCGACAGCTGTCAAAATTATTCCAGTGACAGCTCATTATATTGTTTACAAGCGTTCAAAATCATTTTGGTGAGAATTTTTCAGAAAAAAAGTTATTCGTGATGGAATTCACTCGTTACCGTGATACTGGTGGCGTAGACCGACGTCAAGGCAGTGCACAGTAGAAAACAGCAACATCAGCATAAATGTTTCGAAAAGTAAAGAAGCGACTTGATCGAAACCCTTGTCGCAGTGGCCGATAAATGGCTCGTGAGCTGAATATATATATATATATATATATATATAGGTTTAGGTATAATTAGGTTTTCTCCGATGAGAAAACTTTCGTTGTCCGCATGTGTTCTGGTGGTAAACCGAAGCTGGCCATGGTGATGGTGTTGGCCGCCATAACAGCCGATGGTCATTCTCTACTCGAATATATATATATATATACATATATATATATATAGGTTTAGGTATAATTAGGTTTTCTCCGATGAGAAAACTTTCGTTGTCCGCATGTGTTCTGGTGGTCAACCGAAGCTGGCCATGGTGATGGTGTTGGCCGCCATAACAGCCGATGGTCATTCTCTGCTCGAATTAATCGACCGTGGCATCAGAATAAATGCCGAATATTATTGCGAAAATATTCTGGAGGGTGTATTAAAGCCTTGGGCACGCAAACATGGACATGGACATTCCACCATCGCACTCAGCACGCGCCAGCCAAGAATGGTTACAAAATGAGGTTCCTCGCTTCATTTCCAGCGCACCAAAATCTCCGGATACCAATCCGTTGGACTATTGTGTCTGGAGAATTTTGGAAAGCAAGGTTGGCACTAAAAACTACCAAAGTGTCGATCACCTCAATGTACATACATTCGGGCAGCGTGTGATGGTTTCGTTGGCCATTGAAGGCCACAATTCGTGCCAAATTTGACCAATTCTAACAAATCTAAACTTTTTCTAAACTTTGATGCTATTTCCGGCGTTTTTGTTTTCATTCAATAAAATTAAATAAAAAATGTAAAAATTATGGCGTTTGATTTGTTGCAGTTTTTTTATCTCACCATGTACATCTATGCAGAAAAATGAATAATGATCATGTTTTAAGATAAAGGTCCGCTCCGCTCCATTTTTGTAATTTGTTTTCGACTTTTTCGACGAATGTTTCTACCAACATTCGGCATTTCTTTTTTTGCGATGACGTACCCACATAAAGTGCCGCTATCTTTTCGATTTTAAAAATTTTAGCCAGATGCTCTTAGGTTGAAAATATTTTTTGCAAAAGATTTTCTATAGAGGGCCATGTTTTGACCCAATATAAAGAAGGAACACCCACTACATCTTCCTGGTCCTTGATTTAAAAAACAAAAACAATTCTATTTTCAATTATGTAGTAAAAACGTCTAGTTTATTATTCGTTGTTATAATTATTTAATGTTTTTGTTGTTGTTGATACATTTTTAATTTATTTTTTTAATGTTTTTGTTTCGTCATTAACGTCAACATTTAGTTACTTTGTTGTTGTTGCATTTTTGCACCTAATGTTACATAAATATTATATATAAATAATAATTTTTATATTTAAATGATATGTGAGTCGAAAACAAAAATTCGAAGAAGAAGAATAAAATGTAACGATGTAATAAAAATTAAAAAAAGAGAAGAAAGAGGGATGAACAAATGAAGGCACTGTAATTGCGGAAATTGCTTAGTGAGGGGAAGTACCTTCAACAGTGATGATGATGATGATGATGGCGATAATGATTATTATGATCGTAATAATAAATATTTAATAATAATTATTAATAATAATAATGATCATGATAATGATGATGATTTTCTAATAATAACGACAACTACAAAAAAGAGACTAGATATAGTCACAAAAAAATAGGAAGACTAGAGTTTCCTATTTTCCTTTGGTTTCTGTTGAGTTTTTCCGCCTTCTTCAAATAATTTCTCTTTTGTTTTTGCAAAATTTCTAGAGATAAGTCTTATTTAAATTTCTAAATTATTTAATAATAGTCAAGTTTTTTACTCAGTTTAGGTGTGTGTGTATATAAAAAACGCATTTAAATTAATGCGGTCGTAAAATTAATTTTTTTTGGTATTTCTTTTCATTATGAAATGATTCGTATTAGGATGAGGCCTACAGTTGGTTGATTTTGTTTGTTGTTGGTGGGGATTTCCAGAGGGGAACAAAAATTCAAGTCTATTTTCTTTGTTTCTATTTTCTTTTTTCTTAAAATCTACGTTTGTTGTGCTGCGTTTGCTGATGCCTGGAACCAGTCGAACAGGATGATGCGGCACCGCCGCCGCCACCACCACCGGTTCTTCTACTCGAACTACCTTTCGATGAGGCCGATGATGAACTGGGTATATTAAGTCGCTTCCTCTCCTGGGCATAATAACAGAATATGCAAAAACCATTTTGCGGTGTGGTACATCAAATGTTTGTGGGACTGCGCGATGTGGATTGGGTGCGATAACGGGAATTGGATCTGGAAAGAGAAAAAATGAAGTGGAAGATTTTTGAATATTTAGTTATTTTTGATTATTTAGCTATAAAAGTAAGAGGATAAGGTGGTGGGTAAGAATACCATAAGGATGATCTGAAGGTTAAGGGAGTCCTGTATAGGAGAGCTTAAGGATCAGGAAGTTCTGTTAAGAGTGAACAGAAGGGGCTGGAGTTTCATTATAGGCGAATTGATGAGACAGTTTGCCTATATTAAGGCGAGCTGAAGGCCAGGGTCAGATGGTCAAGATTTGTATTATAGGCGAGCTGAAGAGTCTTTATAAGTGAGTTGAGAATCAGAGACCCTTAACAGGTGAGCTGAAGGATCAGGTAATCGTTGTAGGTCCGCTGAAGTGTATGTGAGTCGTTACCAGCGAGCTGAAGGGTCTGGCATTTTTTATAGGGGTTTAGAAGGGCCAGAGTGTCTTTATATTTGCTGAAGTGTCAGGGAGTCTCTCTATTCAAGGTGAAGGGTCAGGGAGTTTTTTTGACGAGCTGGAGTTTTTATAGAAGTTTTTCTATATATATGCGAGCTGAAGTCCAGGGTGTCAATGTAGATATGAAAGTTGAGGATCAGAGGCTCTTTACAGGTGAGCTGTAGGATCAGGTAGTCTTTATAAGTCAGCTGAAGAGCCAGGGAATCTTTAAAGGAGAGCTGAAGTATCAGAGGGTTTTTGTGAGCGAGCTGAAGGGTCGGAGAGCCTATTTGGATGTGCTGTCTTTATATGCGAGCTTGGGACCCGATGCCCTTTACAGGTGAGCTGAAGGATCAGCCAGTCTTTATAAGCCAGCTCAAGGCCAAGAAATCTTTAAAGACAAGCTGAAGAATCAGATGGTCTTTGTAACCTAGTTGAAGGGTCGGAGAGCCTATTTAGATGGGTCAGGGAGTCTTTATAAACAAGCTGGAGGCTTAGAGAGTCTTTACAGACGAGGGCCAGGTAGTCTTTACAGACGAGCTGAAGGGTCGGAGAGTTTATTTAGATGAGCTGAAAACCCAGGGAGTCTTGTCAGATCGAGCTGAAATTTGAAGAAGTCTTTATGGGGAAGTGAAAGGGCCTGGGAGTCTTTATGGTCGAGCTGAAGGGTCAGGGAATCTTTATAGATGAGCAGGGGGTCTTTAGAAGCATGCTGAAGGGCCGGATAGATGGGAGAAAGTGTCAGGGAGTCTTCTCCAAACGAACTGAAGGATCGGGGAGTCTTTATAAGCGAGCTGCAGGATTAGGAAGTCTTTATATACGAGCTGAAGGGTCAGGGAGTCTTTATAGACGATCTGAGTGGCCAGTGAGTCTTTATAGATGAGCTGAGCGGCCAGTGAGTTTTTATAAATGAGTGGAAGGGTCGGAGAGCCTATTTAGACGAGCTGAAATCTCAGGGAGTGTACTCAAAACGGGCTGAGGAAGGGTTTGGGAGTCTTTATAGAACACCTGAGGGGTCAGGGAGTCTTTATAGACGAGCTGGAGGTCAGACAGCGAGTCTTCTATAAAGGAACTCTGAGGGGGGTATTATTCTACAAATAAAGTCTGAGGGAAGTCTTCTTCTTTAGTGGAGTTTGTTTCTTTAGACGATCTCGGAAGGGAGTTTTCTTCTAGGGGAGTCTTTGCCTATATACGAGCTCTTGGGATAGACTTCCATGGACAAGCTCCGAGGGGAGTCTTCCATAGACGAACTGAAGAACCGGGGAATCTTCTATGGACGGGAGGGTCAGGGTATTTTCTATAGACTCAAATGACAGAGAATCTTCAAGGGCTGAAGGACCTGCGTGTCTTCTATAGACTAAGGAGTTCAAAGGCCAGAAACATTTTATGTGGGGATATTTTCCAAAGAACTATTTAGGAGTCGATATTTTCTGAAGGAATATCAGGCATAGATATTTTCTAAAGGCCTTTAAAGCGGAGATATTTTCTAAGGGACTTTTAGGGGAAAATATTTTCTAAGTGATATTTAGGCCTGGATATTTTCTTAATGAATTTTAGGCATGGGTATTTCCTAAAGAACTTTTAGGCGTGGATTTAAAAAATGAATTTTTCCTAAAGGAATTTTAGGAGGGGATTTTTTAAAATACATTTCCAAGTGGGACTTTTAGGCGTGGATGTTTAATAGAGGATTTTCTAAAAAAAATTTCTAGGAGACAAATTTTACTCACCTCGATAAACTTGTGGTATAATCACGTAAAGGTGTGCTCGCTTCATGTCGATAACTACTAGAACTGCCAGGCTCTAAGAGAGACATAGTACGATGATCATAGGCACGTATTGGCCTTCGACCCATTGTGGCATATCCATCAATATGACCACCGGTGGAGGTCAAATTACTGCCCGCCGAGGAGGTACCAACACCACCGCCATTTGCTGCTGCACTAGTACTTCCGCTGCTGCTGCCATGGGTGGCTGTGTTATAGGAGAAACGCCGTTTCGGATTATAGGTATTATAATATGCAGTTGTGGATGCCAATTTACTACCGGAATCATCGGGTAATGTGGTTTTATAACGTGACGACAATATGGCAGTGTGTGGCATAATATCTTTTTCTGGAGTGTTATAGGAGGAACTGGCGGCACTGGTGTAACGTCGCTCTGATAAACCCGATGGTGATGTGGGTGCTCGTATATCATTGAGACTTTTGCGGGGCCGTCCCGGGGTAAGGGTATATTCATGGGTGCTACTACTCGATGTATAGGGAGATTTATATACGGGTGGTTTAAGTTCGGTGCCAATGGGACTGAGTTTTAGGGGTCGGAAAAATTCTTGTGTTATATCAGGGGATCGTGCTCTCTCTTCGGGGTAAATTTTGTTGGAAGATCTTGTCTTGGCTGCCGCTTGCTGTTCACGATAATACTCACGCACAGCATTGGGGCCAACAATGCTACTCGTTCTCTTCGGTTTCTTTTCGTTGAAACGACAATAGAAACTTCGACGTCGTATGCGATCCACAATACTTTCATTGGGATCTGAACTTTCACCATCTCCATTACCACCACCACGTCGGGAGGTGGGTGATGATACTTGGGATGTACGCGATAATCGGGACACCGTGGGTGAGGGTGTGGCCCCACCATGCATACGATAATTATCCTCGGAACAAACCGACCAATTGTCGAAGTAGAGTTCCGGCTCCTCGGTCGGAGAACGAAATGTGGAGGTTGTGGAGGCACAGTCTTCTTGATAACTTCTGGAATCCGATGAGTAATTGGCAATATTATCGAAGGAGGGTGAAATGAGATTATTATTTTGGTTCGAGGAGGAGGAGTTTGAGGTCATGGTGGTGGTGTTGGCGGAGTGGTTGGGATCATGAAGAGTAGTGGAGGTCATGCTGCGATATCCGGTCGTTTGACTTAGCAGCGAGGAGCTGTTATTGTTGTAGGAAGATGGTAAGTTGTTGTTGTTATTTCCATTGCCTATGTTGTTGTTTTCTTGATTCTGTGCAGCCACCGCCGTCGTACTGCTCGATGAGGAACTGTGTAGTGTGGCAGCTCCCCGAGGATAGGGTGGCAGATTTGAGTAGATTTCATTGTCGTTGATATAGGAATATTTCTTGGGGTTACGTCCTGTTGCCGAATTATTCTCAGGAACTTGATTCATCGATTTGTCGGATAGCTCCAACATTAGAGCCTTGCGTCGATCTTTATTACCCTGAGCGGTTTTGTTGGCTTCCAGGGAGTTGAAAGAATTTTGAGCTTTAATTTTATTCGTGGCCAGGGCATTTTCAAGACACTCTGGGCAATTGGAGAGATCGTTGGCTGGAGTGGAGGTGGTGGAGGAGGGTGGGCCACAATTACATTGGGCCAATGATTTACCACTGCGACTCTTCTCGGTGGATTTCCTTTCCAGCTCATCTGATTTCTCTTTCAATTTCATTATGGCATCGGCATTTTGATAGATGGGAGAGGTATCTGCGGAATCGTTGATCTGTCGTTGAATATTGCTGGCCGATCGGGCGGTACGCACCCTATTTGCACTGTTATCCTTTTCGTAACGCTTGAACAGACCCAAAACCCTGTTGACGGATTTACGATTAAAGGTCCCCGGCATTTCTTCCACACTCACCGCCCTCTTGATATAAGTCGATTCGGAGTGTATGATAGGTTGGGAACGAGGCACCGACCGTTCTCGTAGATTTCTGATCATGGCATCTATGCGGGAACGTTTATCGGTTTTCACAGGTTTCGCCGAGGCATCACCACTGGGAGTTTTCGAATCCTTGGAGCCAGGAGTGTTACCTTCTCCAGGTGCTTGGTTACCCGAGGGTGTCGAGGATTTTTTGCTTACCGAACTTCCAAGGGATTTGGTTTTCTTGACAAAGGAATATTTACCCGTGGTCTTTTCGGGCGAAGTGCTCTGAGAGCCTTCATTGTTGTTGGATGAGGTGGCTGCGGCGCCGCTGGAGGATGCTGCAATGGCCTTCTTCTGAGTGGGTATATTGGCACATGAGTTACTGGTTGCGGAAGCTCTTAACTTTTCAAATTTCTGGCCAATGGCATAGAGTAGACCCTTATTGGGTTTCTTTTCCGCGACCGCTGCCACCTTGGCAGGTTCTTTGGCATTATTGGGTGTGGCTGGGCTCGATTCCTTGGAATCATCACCCACACTGGAATTCGTATTACTTGCGGAACTATTCGAACTAATGGCTGTGGCTGTTGGTGGTGAGAGTTTCGATTTTTTGGTAATTTTTATTAATTTCTTGGGAGCCGGAACTTCGGGCATTATGGTGACGGAAAGGCCACCTTCATGGTTACTTGAAGAGGTTGGGGTGGTGGCACTGGGTTTCAGCAGGGAACCACTGGGTGGATTACTAACTTCTTCCAGACCTTGGCCACCATCCACATTGGAAAGTCGGGATTTTGAGGGCTTTTTCAGCTCCTTGGGCGCCATTAACTTTGAGGTAGGATAACTTTTTGGTCTTAGCAGGCGACTTTCTCTTTGCAGGGTGGCTGTACCGCTAATGTTATTCAATTCCTGGCCACTGGAAGTGGAGTTTTCTGTGGGAGTTTCAGCAATGGGAACCGAAATGTTGGAGGAACCTATTTTATTTGAGCCCACCCCACTTTCCATTTGTCCCTGACCAGGACTATCGCCAGTATTTGAATCCTTTGTGGGATATGATTTGGGCCGTTTCAGTTTGGACACATTTTTGGGAGAATACAAATCCGTGATAAGAGATTTGGAAGCTGCATCACTTCCTGGAATGTTATCGGCCAGCGGGGTTTTTGGAGTGCCGGGATCTGCAGATTTTTTCACCACCACCTTTTTCACCTTCTTGACAACTGTGGTGGTCGTCGTACTGTTCGTTATGGTCTTATCGTTATCTGTGGAGGACTCAGTGGATTTCTCCTTGGGTTTAACTTTCTTCACTTTTTTCAAAGTCGCTGTGGAGGTGGTGGTGGATTTGTCTTTATTCTCCACCAAAGTGGGTTCCGTAATATCACCACTACTCTCCTCTTCCACCAATCTCTCCTGCTGCGACCTCATGGTCGACAGCAGCTGCAATTCCTGTAGGATTTTATCAGCCAATTCATGTTTGGCCAATTTTTCACTTTCATCAAATTCCCGAGGTCGTGACAAACTTCGACGATTCCTCTTTAAGGTCTCCGTTCCTGGAGTACCCAACATTTCGGATTTTTCCGAAAATAAATCTAAACTTTTATTGCGAGCATGACGGGTATGCTTCAATTTACTAGCCGACATTTCTGGTGGAGTCTCCAAACAGGGGGTTTTGACAGGTTCCTCCGGAGTTAGGCCACTTGCCTCAATGGGTGATTCCTCCAAAGGTTGTTCCATAAAGTCGGGACGCAAGAGTCGTGATATTCTTCGTTGTGAGGGACGTTTGGCCACAGCTCCTGTATTTTCCACCACCGAGGCTGAGGGTGATAACCGACCACTGGGTGGTCTTCCCAACATTGAGGAGGGTATTTCCGTGGCCGTCAAAATATCCTTGCTGGACTTTTTCACATATGGCGAATAGTATTTGTATTTTTCATTAACCTCACTAGTGTACAAAGGGCAGGGTTCTTTGCCAGAACATTCCTGAGTTGGTGGTTCAGCCGCAGTCTTGGCATCCTCTTCACCTCTTAAGCCGTTGACATTTTCAATAATTTTCTCTTTAACTTCGCGACTTTTTGAATCTTTCACATCTTCAGTTTTAGGTAATGTGGTTCTGCCACTACTCTGACTACGTTTATATATCCTTGTGGGCTGACACTGCCCAGCCTGTACACTTAGGGTACGTGATAATTTGCGGGCTTGAGTTGGCGGCAATTTGGCCAGCAGCTGTTCTTGAAAACATTTTGGCAGTCCTGGAGCAATACTCGACAGGGTTTCTAAGTCTGTTTTACTCAAACGCAAGCGGGATAAATCTAAGTCGGCCAAATCTAATGGTTCATCCGGCAATTGACTACCATCATCAATCGATTTGGATTTCTTGTCTGAGTTACTTGATTTACCTGCAAAGGGAGAAGATTTAAATAAAAATAATTTTTTTGTTGGGAATCTATCGGAATTTTATTTTAATTATTTTTAATAAAAATATGTACTAACTTTCTGAGGTACTTTTTATATTAATTTGAACACTTACCGAAAAGTAGAACCCCGATATATTAAGCTGGATTAATTTAAAGCATTTTTATGTATGCACATTTCATTGGTCAAACACTGGAAACTGTAGCTAAGCTCTAGAATTGTACTTACCATGTTCGTATTTTTTCCGAAAATTGCTTGGATACGTTGGTCCTCGAAGGGACTATTAACTTTTTATTTCATATCCCCGTGATATGATTTATATATTTAGTCCTAATGGCGCATTTTCCATACTAAGAAGAAAAACGACGATTCTGAAAGGCGACTTATGAAATTAAATCCTGTAGAAACCTTTTAACACAGACAGATAAAGTGAGCCCCCAATTTCTAAATAATAAATCTACGAAGCTTTTTATACCCTCATCCTAATGGCTAATCAGGGTATATGAGCTGTGCTACGGCAAAAATGTGCCTCATCGAAAAATTGGTCTTAGACTCATGTTTCTTTGAACCAAGAACCGTTTTAGACAATTTGGAATTGATTTGCAAATGTCCAAATTTTCCATTTAGCACACATTATTTCCATAAGTACCCTGTTAAACCATCCAACAAAACTTCATGCATACCCCGATCCTACACCCCCACGATGATTCTAAACTCAAATTTCAGGATTCCAACTCTATTGGTTCACCCACAATTTAAATTGTACCAAATTTAATACTCAGCGGTACGAATTTCCAAAACTTCCTAAATACCCCAATCCTACACACCGCCACAGTGATCCTAAATCCAAGTTTCAGGATTCCAACACTATCGGTTCACCCACAATTCAAATTGTACCAAATTTAGTATACAGCAGTACGAATTTCCAAAACTTCCTACATACCCCAATTCTACACCGTCACAGTAATCCTAAATCCAAGTTTCAGGATTGCAACACTATCGGTTTACCCACAATTTAAATTGTACCAAATTTAGTACACAGTAGTACGAATTTCCAAAACCTCCTTCTTACCCCAAACCAACACCCCCACAGTGATCCTAAATCCGAGTTTCAGGATTCCAACACTATCGGTTCGCCTACAATTCAAATTGTACCAAATTTAGTATACAATAGTACCAATTTCCAAAGCTTCCTACATACCACAATTCTACACCTCCACAGTGGTCCTAAATCAAAATTTCATGATTTCAATTCTATCGCTTCACCCACAATTTAAATTGTACCAAATTTAGTACAAATTTCTAAAAATTCCTACATATTTCAATCTTACACTTTAACAGTGATCCTGACTCCAAATTTCATGATTCTAGCTCTATTGGTTCACCTAAAATTCAAATTGTACCAAATTTAGTACCATTTAGTACCCATAACTATTTTTCTTAAACTGAATCTTGACCCTAATCCTACATCCCTACAATGATCCTAACTCCAAACTTCATTGTTCCAGCTCTATCGGTTCACCCAAATCCAAATTGTACCAATTTTAGTACGATTTAGTACTTTTCGTACACATAAGTAACAAATTTCCAAAACTACGTACATATCCCAATCCTACATTCCGACGGTAATGTTACTATCAATTTTCAGTATTCCAGCTCGATTTGTACCTCCAAATCAATTTTGTACCATATGAGCACACATGAGTACACGCTTTCCAATCTCTCCTCATATCGACCCCACTTCTCAACCTTAATTTGCATTCCAAATTTAAAGTTTTTAACTCAATCCATTCACATGCTACGAAATTGTACCAAATTAAGTACATTTTAGTACTTCTGGCATACTTATAGTTCGAATTTCCAAAAAAAAAAATCCCTTTGCTACATCTATTATACACTCCATCATTGACCCTCAATCCAAAATTCAGGGTTCTACCTCTACTGGTTCGCCAAATACAAATTATACCATATTTAGTACTTTTCATACCGTTCTAGTACGAATTTCCAAAAACCCAGCCTTATCTGTCACCTTTAGACCAAGAGTGACCCTCACCCAAAATTTCAAGATTCTAGCTTCAGCCGTTTCGTCTGGGCGTTGATGAATCGTTAAATCAGTCAGTCAATCACTTTACTCTTTTATTAGTATAGATAGATTGTCGAAATGTAATAAAACTTTAAATTTCCCCCTAAACATGTGTGAAAAAATGATAAAAATCGGTTAGGTATTCGCTGAGTTATTTGCATTTGAAATTAACAATGATCCGATATATACTTACTGTTCGGTGCTGGGCGCCTATTACTTGAAAATGAAAAACACCTCAAAAATCGATTTCTTAAAACGGCAATTTTTCAGTCATAATGGGTTGATGATTTGTTTGTATAGAAAATTATAGCATACTTTTAGGCAAAAGGTCAACTACAGTCTGTAGTGCGATTTTTAATTGATATGTATGTATAGATGATTGATTGTTTTTATGCACAAAATTGTGTATGTATGTACATAAGTTTACATACGTACTACATACATACACAGTAGCTATGTGAAGCTAAAAAAATTATTTTCACTTTTACAAGACAGTCATTTTGAGGTAATAGGCGCACAGCATCGAACCGTAAGTATATTTTGGAACATCGTTGACTTCAAATGTAAATAATTCAGGGAATACTAAACCGATTTTTATGATTTTTTCACACATGTTTAGAGGGGGAATCTAAAGTTTTATTCCATATAGGTAATACAAATATAAATGTAAGTAATATACAAGAAAATTAGCATTATGTGAATGTTCAAAGATATCTAAAAATATCAACTATATTTTATACATTTCACCAAAACAGTAACAGTGTATAACAACAGCTCGAAATATTCATCGGAGATCCCAGCCGGATATAGGATATATTACTGATGAAAATACATTTCTATGCCGATTTAGCCATGTCCGCCTGTTTGTTCCTCCGTTCGGTATTTTAGGATTTTTTGAAAGCTTTTTTTTTAACTGAATTGATAGTAATTTAGTATTTTGGGTTACCACAGGAAGAAAATCTTTCTACCAAAAATTATGATTATTGGTCCTTATTTTGGGATAGTTCCCATATAACGATAGCCCCAATATTCGGATTTTTGAAGCCTTTGAGTACGTTTTTCGACCAAATCGGCTGTAATTTGTTATTTTTAGGGAGAACACTGGGTAGAAAATGTTTCTAACAATTTTTTTCAATATTAACCCATTTGTCGGTTCTCATAGTATTCGGTATTTTGAAGACTTTGGTTACGATTTTCAACCTAATCAATTGTAATTTGGTATTTCGGGTTCTTACTGGACAGAAAATCTTCCTATCAAAACTGATCAATATTGGTTCATTTCATAGCTTAGCTACCCTCCAGTATTCGGTATTTCGATGCACTGGGGTACGTTTTCCGACAAAATCAGTTGTAATTTTGTATTTCGGGTTCGTACTGGGTTCCTACAAAAAATTTCGGGTTCCTATAAAAAAAATTATGATTATATGTCCCCAATATTCGGTATTTTGGAAATTTTATAATATCGGTTTACGTATAAAGGGTTCTTGGTGTCTGATATCTATGTATAGATCAATATAGGACCATGTTTTGGCATAGTCTCCATATAAGAGGGGTTTTACGACTGAAGGTTTTTGCAGCATTTTTTCATCGCAGTTTATAAAATTTGGCAATCCGCAAAAGATGTTTTGAGAATATTTTTTTGCAAGGACTATAAAGGCGTGGGGTTTTTAATAAATATTATTTCGAAGGACTGTCCTCAAGCGTGGATTTTTGAAGACCTATCAAAGGCGTAGATTTTAAAAAGAATATTTTTTCCAAGGACTATCAAAGGCGTAGATTGTAAATAGGATTTTTTTAAAAATATTTTTTCCAAGGACTAAAAAAGTATTAGATTTTGAAATGAATATTTTTACAAGAACTGTCAAAGGGGTAGTTTTTTAAAAGAATGTTTTTTCCAAGGACTATTAACGACATTTAAAGAAAATATTCATCTAAAGACTATCAACATTTCTCTACGGACCAACAAGCCGTAGATTTTGTAAAGAATATTTTTCCAAGGACAATAAGGCGTAGATTTTGTAAAGAATATTTTTTCCAAGGTCTATTAAAGGCAGGGTTTTAAAAGATGGTTTTTCATGGACTATCAAAGTCAGGATTTTAACAGAATATTTTTTAAAGGACTATTTCGATCAAAGGAATATGTTTAATACGTCGTGTGCCTATAAAATACCCTTTGAACTTTTCCAAAGACTATAAAAGTCGTAAATTTTTAAAAGAATATATTTTCCAGGGACAGGTTTTTAAACGAATATTTTTTTTCAAAGGGCTATTAAGGGCAGTTTTTTCAAAAGAATATTTTTTTTCAAAGGTCTATCAACGGGGTAGATTTTTAAAGAAATATTTCTTTCATTGCATTTTTTTATTTTAAGACGAATATTTTGTCCATGTACTATGAAGGCTATAGTAGGAGATTTAGGTTGCGTATGCTTGCTGTCAACACGTATACGCATTGATGGCCGAAGGAAAGTATGGAGAGATAGGAACTAGGCCATAGATGTGGATTTTAAAAGAATTATTATTCAAAGACTGCCACGGCATCAAAATGTGCCTTTTTACGAATATTTTTCGAAGGACTATCAGGGTCATAAATTTGACTTTAAAGAAAATTTCCTATATTGGTACCACGTTTTAATATAGCCTCATATAAATACCCATTTTGAAAAATTGTTTGGTTTTAGAGCAATTTCCCATCATATTTTCGAAATAGGTAACCATTTATGTTATCATAGCCTGCATAAAAAAGTCCCGTGAAAATGTTCGATATTTGTCGATGTTTCCACATAGCCAGCCGTCTCATTTTCGATATTATTAAGTTTTTAACCGAATTTTCTCATCGATATGGCTATAATTTGGAATATCGAATTTATGGTTAATAAATAAATCTTCATAAAAATTTGACAT